TCCCATCGATGAGGTATACATTCTTCATCAATGGAAGGATTCCTGGCGGATGGAGGAGTATGACAATCTCATCAACCGGAAGTGATTCTTTCTGGTCAATGATGTTGTTATACTCATCAACCCGGAAGGAATCCCTTCCAGACTATGAGGTGTTATACCTCATCGACAGAAGGATCCCTTCCGATCAATGAGGTATAACAAGAGTTTTGTTTCTTGTCGACCAGAAGGAAACCTTCCGGCATGGGAGCAACGACTCCCAAACCCCCTCAAGCATGAGGGGTGGTTTGGGGCGCCGACTCCCTGAAAATTTAAAAAATTAAAAAACAATTTGATGGCTGACTCCCAAAGTTGGTCATTGATTTGGAGGAACGACTCCTGCCCGACGACCCCTCGACCAAAATGGGAGTCGTCGGCTAATTTGTGGAAGTCGTTTTTCCAACCCCCTATACATTACCCCCATAAAAATGTAACTTTACAAGACATATGTCTTGTAAAATATAGTTTGTAAAATTCACTTACCCCTTTATTTAATTGTTATCAAAGGAGCATTTGCTGAAAAAATGATGGATCAAACACCCATACCAACTCATCTGAAGAATGCGTACCCAACAACCAGAACCATCAAAACAAGTAAATATGACTCAGTCCATCAGGGGATTTTTGTATTGGTGAGTTACCATATCCAGAAGCTCAAGGCTCTCCACCTCACATAATCTGACAATGTTGCAAATAGATCAAAAGACAAGACAGATCCCCCTATGTTGCTGAAGTATCAAATATATGGCAAGAAAATTCACAGTCCAGTACAATATTCCTTGAAGTACAGTAAGTAGACAGTGAAAAGTGGCTACTTATTTTGGATTCCAGAGCTCCAAAACACAAATTTGAAATCATGAGATTTGGACAGGTGGTGCATAATAGTTTCCAAAAAATGAATATGAAAAAATAAAAGCAAAAAATAAAGTTTCAAAATTTGTGAAAAATAAAAAATAAAATTGATTCTTTTCAAAAGCTTTGATTTTTTTTGGGGGGAGTGGGAGTGCTGGGAGAAAGAATGATTGGGAAATGAAAAGAATGATTATAAATGAAAATTTTGGAAAAACTGGTTTTCAGGTGGCTTCAAACAGCTGTTGAGTGGGGCATTCACCAGCCCACATTGCAGTAAAGCACTAGAATAGGGGGTATCAAATATAGGAAATCCACCATCAGAAACCAGTCACTTTTCCAAAAACTTTTTTTTACATAAATGGGCCCCAAAAGGGGATAAATGGATAACCAACATGTTTAAAAAAGGGTGGATTTTTTCAAACCAGTCAATTAAGGGCCTGTACCATAGGACATGAAAGTTCAATTTCTCAAAATTTATCTTGCTCAAAATTTTATATTGTAAAAATTGACCATAAATAGAAGCTAGTCTTTGGCATGAAAGTGAAGAAATTCAACACCAGATCTCTTCAATTGTTCCCAGTTTTTGTGTAGAAGATGGAAAAAATGCCCATTTTTGAAAATTGAACCCTATGGTACAGGCCCTAAATAATGGTGGATTTGGTTATATTTGATACCCCCTAATTTACTGTTTTGGCTCCAATCTGGACAACCAATTAGACTAAACCTTTTTTGGTTCCAATTTTTTTCATTTATAATCATTCTTCCCACTTTCCATTCTTTCTTTCTCTCAGCACTCCCACTCAACCCTCAAAATGAATATTAAAGCTTTTGAAAAAATCAATTTTATTAGGGGGTATCAAATATAACCAAATCCACCATTAATTAATTGACTGGTTTGAAAAAATCCACCCTTTTTTAAACATGTTGGTTATCCATTTAACCCCTTTTGGGGACCATTTATGCAAAAAAAAGTTTTTGGAAAAGTGACTGGTTTGTGATGGTGGATTTCCTATATTTGATACCCCCTATTTTATATTTTTCACAAATTTTGAAACTTTATTTTTTGCTTTTATTACTTCATATTCATCTTTTTGGGACCGATTATGCACCACCTGACCAAGTCTCATGACTTCAAGTCTGTGTTTCAGAGCTCTGGAATCCAAAATAAGCAGCCACTTTTCACTGTCTACCCACTGTACAAGAATACAAACCAGTTGGATTGAATAGCACTTACCTAATGCAGGAGTATGTAGCCAAGAATAGCTTAATGTATGCTACAGCCCAAGTGAGTCAACAAAAAATGTTTTTTGGGCAAACCAAATTGTCACACACAATTCACACTAATTGCTAAACCTGACCGTTAATCATATGCAGAATATAATACGCTGCCTAGACATGCAGCACAATTGTATTGAAGGGCTATTCAAGGTCATCACCCAAACACTTAAAAGAGAATGCAAACAAGAGGGCACAACAACCAAAAAAACTACTGGTCACACACCAACAAACAGCTATATTCTCAATGCTTGCTCCATACAATCAATCCGGGGACACCACAATCAATCAATGTTACCCCAGAGGCCTATTTCTCAGGACATTTGGGATGAAACCATCACCAAGGGAATGATCATATGGCAGAAAGATGCCCCCCCCCCATAACCACAGCAGACACCCCAAATACAATACCCCTACAGCCCATTCCACCAATACCAATCACACAACCTTCATTAACACATGTTGATCCCAATTTGAAAAGTTAAACCAAAAAATGTGGTGACCCCCCCTCCTCACACAGTATTATTCACCCAACAAATCAGGAAGTTACCAAAGGAACACCACTCTACTTGATTCAACATGCCCCAGGCACCCCTGGATCCAGCCAATATTCAAGAAGATCAAGTATATGTATTGGAAAACAATCCATCAATACCTCAAGCACCAATCCCACCAATAACCACTTATGGCCTGACACCCACCACCAGCTCAGCTCCCCATCAACTGGCCCAATTAAACACCCCAAAATCATATACCACACTCAGCACATCCCTGCAGACAGCAGGATATCCCATGCAGGCCCCTACCCAAAACATGTACCAAGAAGCCTGGATTACAAATGTGCATTATCCAGATCCCCTCACATTCAGCCCAAAATATGTCCACCACCCACAGGCCCCACATGAAACCCTAAATATATCAGGTGTACCCTGCAAATCTCCACATGATGGTGGATATTCAACCCAAGCTCACCCCAGCCACTGGTACCAAGCCCCACAATGACTCAAGCCCATCTGGGCCAAATATCCCAAGCCCCAGTGTTCACACCAGGCACAAGGAGAATGAGAATTTCAAAGTCCATGAAACTAATGGCACCTGGCAGTGCATCCAAAAAAAGAACATCAGACCAAAATTACACAGAGGGACCCAGAAAGATGAGCATGTCATCCTTGTGCAACAGTTTTACTAGGCTGAACAATCCACAGGATAGACCAAGCAACCATCCAAGTAGCCCACATCCCATGACACCTTAATGCCTGGGTCCCCAAACCTCTATAGTCAATCCATCACTTCCAAGGAGGCCAGATGACAGAAAAAAGGCCTATTCAACCAATC